AAGAAGAAGAAGAAGAAGAAGAAGCAGAGCCAAGACTAGAACCCAGTTATTCTATGATGGAATGCAGGCACACCAAACAGCATTTAACCACTTCACCAAAGGTCCACCCCCCCCCCTTTTTTTTTTTTTTGACAGGCAGAGTGGACAGTGAGAGAGAAAGACAGAAAGATCTTCCTTTTCTGTTGGTTCACTCCCCAATGGCTGTTGCAGCTGGCAGCCGGCGCACCGCGCTGATCCGAAGCCAGGAGCCAGGTGCTTCCTCCTGGTCTCCCATGCGGGTCCAGGGCCCAAGCACTTGGGCCATCCTCCACTGCATTCCCAGGCCACAGCAGAGAGCTGGACTGGAAGAGGAGCAACCGAGACAGAATCTGGTGCCCCGACCGGGACTAGAACCCGGTATGCCGGTGCCGCAGGCGGAGGATTAGCCTAGTGAGCCACAGAACCAACCCAGTCCACCCCTCTTTTTTATAACAAAGAAAATTAAAGCTCAAGGATGCAAGTGTCTTTCACAATATAACAGCCTGAACCTAAACCATATCTTATACCAAACTTCAGGGCACTTGCCATTATATTAAGCTACCTCTCAAGAGAAATAAATGTAACTGGAACTTGAATTTAATCCTTCTACTATTTCTAAGAAGAATAAGAAAGATCCAGAGACCAGGACCAGCACAGGTGAGTATGGGAACAAAGATGAAAAGAAAATAAACAGACTTTGAGAAAGACAGGCAACACAGCACAGCAGAATCAGAGAAAAGGAGAAAGACCCAAACAACAGACAAACCTGAGAAAACTTAGGGCTACCAAAAGGTATAATTCACACTATGCAAAAGAAAATAGGCCTAGCTAAGAAAAACTGGCCTCTCAAATATCTTTGCTATTCAAAGATTGGTATTTAGGGGACAAAAGGGCCTTTTCCCATTTACCCAGGAAAAAAATAAAAGGGCATTTGTACTCTTGGAACTAACAAAAATCAGTTTTACAACCTAGAATATAGGCCGGCGCCGCGGCTCACTAGGCTAATCTTCCGCCTAGCGGCGCTGGCACACCGGGTTCTAGTCCCGGTTGGGGCGCCGGATTCTGTCCCGGTTGCCCCTCTTCCAGGCCAGCTCTCTGCTGTGGCCCGGGAGTGCAGTGGAGGATGGCCCAGGTGCTTGAGCCCTGCACCCCATGGGAGACCAGGAAAAGCACCTGGCTCCTGGCTCCTGCCATTGGATAAGCACGGTGCGCCGGCCACAGCGCGCCGGCCGCGGCGGCCATTGGAGGGTGAACCAACGGCAAAGGAAGACCTTTCTCTCTGTTTCTCTCTCTCACTGTCCACTCTGCCTGTTTAAAAAAAAAAAAAAAACAAAACCCTAGAATATAAAGTAGTTCTTCCAATTCTTCCCTTAAGTCACTAAAGACAATGTAGCTAACACCCTCATCATCTGTTCAACCAAAAAATACAAAAAAGCTATGCAGGAGGCAGAACTGAACAATTTAGACTTCTTGAAATAAAGTCTGTTATTTGTATTTCATGGGAAATTTGCAGAGACTTTCAAAACTCCACCTGATTTTTACCACATGCGCAGGACTTAAGCTCCACGTAAGCCTCATTATGACAGTCACGTCTTACAGTGTCTGTCTGTTTCTCTTCTCCACACTCTCCAACAGCCCCAATGCCACTGCGCTTCATCAGACATGCCTGGATCCATTCAGATTCATCGCATTAGAAAGAACATCCAAATCCATCTGGATTTGCTGGAGTGAGTTTTTGCTTGTCGTTGCTTTTTTTTTTTTCTTTAGTCACATAAAACAATACTCTTGTTTGAGATGTCCTTGGTAGTTATAGTTTTTTTTAAGTGCTGATTTATTATATTTAATGGTGTTTTGTTCTTTTCAGATACAGCCTACCATTTCTGCCTCACACTAAGTGTTCTGACAACAAAAGGCAACCTTGAGAAGCACAGTTGTTTACGATGCTACATGTCTACCACAACTCAGACGCTGTCAGTCCTTCCATGCATAATATGAACCGGTCAGTCATGGAATCTGCTTCCCATCTGCATTTAGCTAGCCCTCAGTTAATGTTCTGTCAACACTAATTGTTATATGACTGTTAGAAGTTCAAAGAGGTACTAAAGAATAGTGAAAGCAAAAGTCATAAGAATATTCAAGCCCAGGCACTTCCTCAATTACAACTGCCTTCAATGTTATTTAGTAGTGTTTCTACTATCAGTAATACTGGATGGAAACTAGCCATCATGACAATATACAATGGAAAATGTCTACAGAGACAACATTTTCTTAAATTCAGTTTTTTCTTTTGGCTCCCTAACTTATTTTTCCTTGCTTTGTAATTTTCAGAGTGTGCCCAAAAGACTAACCTGCTCACTCCCTTTAAAACAACACTGCAAGTCTGATGTTGGAACCATGGTTAAGTCACATCCCATATCAGTGCCTGCTTAAGCCCCTGCTTTAAGATCTGCTTCCAATCCAGTTAGCCGCTAATGCACACCCTGCCACCCACAAGGGAGACTCAGGTTGAGTTCCAGGATTCTGACTTTGGCCTGATCCAGCCCGGGAACCTGTGGGCAGCTGAAGAGTGAACTAGTAGATGGAAGATTGCTCTGTCTCTGAATCTCTCTGCCTTTCAAATAAAATGAAACTAAATAAATAAAAAAATTAAAAGCTGGAGACAGGTGCTGTGGCACAGTGGGTTAAACAGTTGCTTGCATTGCCAGCATCCCCTACTGGAGTGCTGGTTAAAATCCTGGCTATTCCACTTCTGATCTGGCTTCTAGCTGATGTGCCTGGGAAGACAGTGAAAGATGGTTCAAGAGCTTGGGCCCCTACTACCCACAAGGGAGACCCGGATGGAGCTCCTGGCTCCTGGCGTCAGGAGCCATTTGAGGACTGAACCAGCAGATGGTAGATTTCTCTCCTGTCTCTGTCTCTCTTTCTCTGCCTTTAAAATAAATAACCATGTTAAAAAAATTAAAAACTATAACAACATTACCCTGCAGTAATAATAAACTCCTGTCCAAACAATAATAATCACCTAAGTTTCCTTTATATTCTAAAGTCAAATGACTTCTAAAATATTAAGATAAGATTTAAAACAGCTAATTGTAAATACTGGGGGAAAAATGAGAGAAGGAGGATAAAGAACCAGAACTAAGGCATTAAAAATTTGCCTCATGAGATGGGGAAAAAAATTAAGGGAAAATTTGGAAATGAAATTCCATATAAATATTTTTATCTGCCATGTTGACAAATAAAGTCCCCCAAACCTCAAAAAAAAGCCTTCTGCTCATTCTTTCATTAGCTGTAAGAGGAATATTAAATATTAAATATATAGAAGAATCTAGAGGCTAACAATTGTTTTCTTGATGTCATGATACCAATTCACATATTTTTGCTTATATAGGATATAAAGTGATCGAGAGAATTACTGACTACAAGCAGTTTATTCAGACTCTTTTAATGCATTCCCTACCTTAAAAATTAAATTGACATACTATACACCCCATGCCATCTTTCTGCAGACTGCTTTAACATGAAGATACCTATCGCCATATTTAAATAATTCAAAGAATGTGTCAAGCAACATCCCCAGAGTATATCATACTTAAAGCCAATTTCACTAAAAAGAGAAGAGGGAAAAGTTCTACACACCACTTATTCCTCCCCTCCCACCCTGTTCGAAAGAGATGCCTAATAGTTACTCAGCTGTTATGCTCCAGTAGCAGATCAGAGAATTATCACAGAATATTACATGTAGAAGTCTCCATCAATAAAATGTTGTCTAATAAATGAATGGATAAGTAAATGAATTCACCTCCACAGCTATTGCAAGGTCCAATTAGCCAGTAGACAACCCTTATGCATAAGAGATGTATTCCAAGACAGTCAGTAGATGCCTGAGACCAGGAGAGTACCAGTAGTCAATCTGATAACTGAAAGGGCTACCGAGTCACTAAGTGGCAGATCATATGCAGTGTGGATACTCTGGACAAAGCGACGATTCATCCTCCAGAAAACAGGCAAGACTGGCTGAGACTGCCTAAGACTGTGTGTTCATCACACTGCTCAGAATGGTGTGCAAATGAAAACCTATCAATTATTAATTTCTGGACTTTATTATTTAATTTTTTCATAATGTGGTGACTATAAAAAAAGAAAAAGCATGTGGCGACTATGTGTAACTGAGAACAAGGAAAGTAAAACCACAGAGAACAGGGGGCTACTGTCCCTTCCTGCCTATGGGTGCCTCAATTACCTCTTTTTAGAACTCAGTGCCTTTCTCTAAAAACCAACCATTATGTGAAATGCATGCCAGGGAATATATGCAAAACTACTGTCTTCATCATCTCTGTAGCTGAAACAGACACAAAGGAACAGAGAGTAACACAGTCCAAAAGTGGCATAACACTGTGCACTAACTTCCATGCAGGACCTCTGCCCTCAATGAGTTGTATTATGAAAGTTAACTGTAAAACTTGTTCTCGGGGCTGGCCCTGTGGCATAGCGGGTAAAAGCATCCCATAAGGGCGCTGGTTCTAGTCCCAGCTGCTCCTCTTCTGATCCAGCTCTCTGCTATGGCCTGGGAAAGCAGTAGAAGATGGCCCAAGTCCTTGGGCCCCTGCACCTGCGTGGGAGACCCAGAAGAAGCTCCTGGCTCCTGGCTTCAGATCAGTGCAGCTCCGGCATTGTGGCCAATTGGGGAGTGAACCAGCGGATGGAAGATCTCTCTCTCTAGGTCTCTCTCTCTCTCTGCCTCTCCTTCTCTCTCTTTGTAACTCTGACTTTCAAATAAACAAACCAATCAAAAAAAGAAAATCAACCTTACTGGAGAATGGGACAGGGAAAGGGGGGTGGCAGATATGGTGGGAAGAATAACTATATTCCTTGACGCTTGCTTGCCAGCAGCCAACTTGGCATGGCCTTCTCATTCCACCACAATTCCTAAAGTTGTACTTACGAAATTTGTATTCCTTAAATAAAAGGCTTCTTAGGGAAAATTTAAAAAGTGGCAGGAATGAACTAAAAAGAGAATCTACCTTTTGATTTAATTATATGGAAAACTGTTACATCAATGTGGGAAATGCAGCAGGGATGTAATAATTATAAAACAATGTATACATAGAATGAAGCCCACATACTACCTTCTTATTGTTTGGCAGTTACAAATTTTTTTTTTTTTTTTGAAAGTCAGAATGAAAGAGAAAAGAAAGATCTTGCAGGGCCGATGCTGTGGCATTAACGCCCTGGCCTGAAGCTCTGGCATCCCATATGGAAGCCAGTTAAAGACCCAGCTGCTCCACTTCCGATCCAGCTCTCTGCTATGGCCTGGGAAAGCAGTAGAAGATGGCCCAAGTCCTTGGGCCCCTGCACCTGCATGGGAGACCCAGAAGAAGCTCCTGGCTCCTGGTTTCAGATCAGCACAGCTCCGGCCTTTGCGGCCAGATGAGGAGTTCACCATCGGATGGAAGACCTCTCTCTCTCTCTCTCTGCTTCTCCTTCTCTGTCTGACTTTCAAATAAATAAATAAATATTAAAAAAAAGAAAAGAAAAGAAAAGAAAGGTCTTGCATCCGATGGTTCACTCCCCAAATGCCCACAACAACCAGGACTGGGCCATGGTAAAGACAGGAGCCCAGAATTCCATCAGTTTCTCCCACATAGGTGGCAGGGACCTAAAGACTACTTAGCCATCATCTGCTACCTCCCAGGCAGCTTAGCAGGAAGCTGAATTAGAAGCTGGGATATACATTGGGACTCCAATGTGGGATGCGGGCTTCCCAAGTGGTGGCATAACACATGCACCACAATACCCACCCTGACAGAAACAATTTTGAAAGAAGTTTTTCTTAACAGTCTATAAAATTACATAATGACCTGGTTATTTTTTAACTGAAAGCCACATTTTAAAATTTATTCATTTCAGAGGCAGAGGGAGAGAGAGAGACAGAAAAAGACAGAGTTCCAACTGGCTGGCTTACTCCCCAAATGCCCAGCTCATTCCCCAAATGTCCATAATGGCTTGGGCTAGAAGCCAGGAACTCAATCCAGACATCCCATGTGGGTGGCAAGAACCCAATTACTTGAGCTGTCACTACTGACCCCAGATATCCACATCAGCAGGATTTTGGAATCAGATGCTGGAGTCTGGTATTGAAGTCAGGTACTCTGATGTGAGACACAGGAGTCTTAACTGCTGGCCTAAATAACAGCCCCTGAAACCTACTTTGAGACCACAAACGGCAATACAGTAAGCCTCTGGGGAAAAAAAAAAAAAAAAAAAACAGATTTACATTTTCACTATCTCCTAAGACAGAATAGGTAAGTTTCTGGGCAACTTACACAACACTTAAAGCTTAATTATAAGATAAAACAAGTAAGTCTAATATGAACATATAAAAAGTTTCAAGTTATATATTACTGTGTAACTCAAGACATTACTAAGTAATATCTAAGTTTTTCACAAGATGCCTAATAACCTGTTGATGCTAAAAGAACAGTTTTCCATTAGGGTTATTTTGTTTGTTTCATTTGGTTCACTTCAGAATACTCACAGATATTTATATTTCTTCTGATTAGAATCAATGAATTTTCAATAACCACAGGGATTAAACCAGTCCACTAAATTTAATGTTTTTAAATAATGTTGCTAATGAGATAAAAATGTGCTGATACTGATGACAGAGATTGTCTAATAAAAAACCCTTCGAGAATCCTCATCTCTCTGCTTTTGCCATGGAGCAGCTGTGCCTCACACAGATTCACATGAATGAAAATATTTAGATGAGAAACCACCCACTTAGTTTATTTTCCATATGACTTTCCTGTAATTATTTTGTAAACTGTTCACACAACAATACATAAAAACATCTGCAAAAACAGGTAATTAATGTGTCAAGCCAAACTAATGCATTTTTTATGGTGTCCATGCTTCGTCAACTGTAATTATAACTCTTTTTTAAGCAAATGATGATGTGTTTGTTGCAATGTGCAAGTGGTTATTTTAGATGCTCTGTTTACTGTTCATACAATCTGAATATAAAACTCCACAGCTACTTTACCCCACATCAATGCTGTACCTAGCTTTTGGCTGAAGCAGGAAAGTGGCTCTTTTTTCCAAGCTATAATTTCCGGTAAACATTTTTGTCATTAAAACATGAAACTCTCAATGTAAAAGTTGACACCAAAATAGACAATAATTCAAGAAGCACAGCGCAGCTAACCATTTATTTGGATTATCTTCCCTTAGCTATAACCCTGTAAGAAATACAGCACTTTGTGCCAACAGGCTACAGTATACTAAGCATCTGGGCATAAGTTAAAAGTTCATTGTCATTTCTAATGGCACCCATTCCATCTAGATCCACCAAATACAAACAGAGAGTCTTCAAAAATTCATGAGAAATGCCATTTTATTTAAAAAAAAGACTATGCATGCATTTAGAATATTTTTACATGGAAATAAACATCTTATAATTTCACTTTCCCACAAACTTTCTGAAGTACCCTTGTGTAGTAACAAATATAAATGTAATGATAATGCATAAAAACTAATTCTACTTCAAATGGCTAAATTCTACAAATTGTCAAATCTTTAGGATAAATATATCCATTTCTGTGCAGGCACTACACTATAGGATACACCAGTGAGTGAGAAAATATCTTGCATTCAAGGACATTACAAGTAAATTGAAGATATAATCATTCAATAAATAACTGCACAAATAGTAATTCATAGTAAATAAAATAAGAACTTAAGGAAAAACAGTGCTTAATGACAACAAAACTCAGGAAATCTTTTTTGGTCTGAGTAGAAGTAAGGAAAGGCTTCCTTTAGGAATTGAGATGTATAAGACCAAACAGTAGAGGGCCAGCATTGGAGCACAGCAGGTTAAGCCATGGATTACAATGCCAGCATCCCGCATCAGAGCTTCAGTTCAAGTCTTAGCTCTTCAGCTTCCAATCCAACTTCCTGCTAATGTGCCTGGGAAGTCAGTGGAAGATGGCCCAAATACT